TGTGGGCTTGTTCTCTAATGACCAACAGGTCTAGGTGCACAAAACTATCAGTTCTGGCATATGTCTTTCAAGACTTCTCTCTTGGATTCACAGAGGCTTCTTGTAGACATGGCAACAAGTGAGTCTTCTAACAATGGGACTCTGGACAATGGAATGTGAGCTTGTGGACTTCAGCCAAAACTCATTGCCCAAGTTTGTGCTGGTGATATCTGTCATCTCACTTAAGGATTTCCCCGGATTTTCAGGTATAATATGTCATAGTTAGTGAGCTCACTAAATATCATCAATCCTTATATAATCTAAGTTGGTTTCTTGGCTCCCATAACAGTGAGCTCTAGTCTTATCATGCAGCAACCAGGTCTATGGTGTGGCCTTCTTGTCAAGCATGCCCATCCAGTACAATGCTATGGCTAAGTCCTGTCAATGTTCTCATGCTTCCTATGATATCACTAGTTATCATCTCTATACATTGCATAGTTTCAGTGTCAACGCATTCATTTAGCCCACTCACTCACTGTATTTCAGTATGCATGTATAAAGTGTCAGATTGCAAAATTACATGCATAAACAGGCTGCAGGTGCAACAACATGTCTGCATGGATGAGATGTGGGAAAATACATTCCTCTCTCTTCAACATCTGGATGCCACTGACTAAGTAGGCTTTCTGGATTTGCCATGTCTGTGTTGATCTGCCTTTGCTCCTCATACTGGGACATGATGAACCTGTCAGTACATTGCAGCACCAAAATGAATGGCTTTGAAGCACCACTATACTCAACATTCATAGATCTCAACCTGCACTAACTGTCTTTCTGACCTGTCTGCTCATCTGCAGCTGCAGTTAGATTCCTCTCCTTCAAGTTCTATTCACCTTTCCTCCTCAAGTTCACTCATGAACACACACTTTTTTCTTCTCTATTCTTTGATATATTGTGGCTCGGAGTCCTCTGCCTTGTGGTTCCAGGATTTGACTTGCATCTTGGGAATTCCCAGTACTCCCCAGTTTCACATCTCTAGTATTTACTTGGACCCATCAGTATTCACATTATAGCATAATGGTTCAAGAGAAATGAATCTGGTTCAATTCCAGCTAATGCCATATACATCCGATGTTGACAGCTCTACTTTTCCCCTTCAGGATATGGCTCTCCTCTCATTCATGCTGAGTTCAAGTTTATCTTATCTGATGCTGCTGCTTTGAACTGACCACATGGCTCTTGACAGCTCTACTTTTTCTTGTGTTTAGTGGGGAGAACTCAACAGAATATATCATTTGTGCCAAGTTCAAATTCATCTTATCTCTGGGCTGCTGCTTTGAACCAACCACATGATGAAGAATGGAAGCTGGGTGTTCTGCCCAGTGCTTTCTCAGTGGAATCAAGTTAGAATCGAGATCTCTTGACCATCATGCAGTTCAAGTTCCTCACTCTGAGTCACTGAATATTTGTATCAACCTCACCCTTGCTGTGTAATTGAATGCAAGCAGACAAGACCTCACTGAGGAAAGGAGGACAGCTTTTCCCACTTCCAGTTTGTCAGCCTTCCTTCATTTTTAGGACTGATCTCTTCTCCTTTGATCCTTGCACTGTCATTGTCTCTGTCTTTCTTTCTTTACTGAAAAAACTCATATTTATCTCCTGACTAGGATTGTCTTCTCTGTGTGTTACAGGGTGTGTTGGTTTCTCAGGTCCCTCTAATGATACTGCACTACAGGACATGAGCAAGCTCTCTCAGCTCAGTTGATAGAGTATGCTCATGTGGTTTAAGTCTACTAGAGGGATCTCCAAAAGTTGATTTCCTGCTTTTTGGTCTACAGAATCTTTGCCAAGTCAACTAGTAATGAGATCCTGCATCCTGCCTGGTAGATGAAATAGTGTAACAGTAAGTTAAAGTTCCCAATTATTTTAGCCTTTTCATAATGCATGGGTGTAAGATGTCTATGGATCATACAGTATAGTACTACTAGGAAGTTGTTCTGTAATAAAAGAAAAGAATGCCTCCATCCCTGTCACATTACATTTCTAATCCTGGCTTATGGGTTTGCAATTCCCTCATTCCATGATAGCAATTAGTTTTATCTCAGAAAATCACAATGGGGTCTGGAGCTGGTGGGAAGGAAGGAAGGAAGCTAGAAGTATGCATACGTATGGAATACAAGACTGGTACACTCAATTTCAAATGAGATTGGTGCTTTAATACCCTGGATATCTCTATATTACTTCATATAGAGATATATTTTTTATATGTAATCAATATTACTATTTTAGGATACCTTTTTGTATATCTAAATATAGTTATCATGTGTAATAAGACACTGCTCTGTTAAAATACTGAATAGTGTTAGAAATATACCAAAATCTGGATATATGAATATAAGATGAAGAGTATTAATTATAATACAGTAAGATTGAAAAGAAAGCATGTATATTATTAGAAAACACTATACTATTTCAACCAGATATTCACATAACATACAATGAGGTCTTTTTGAACTTTTTTATCTCTAGAATTCATTGATATGTATACTATACTGTATTCATATTATGTCTCATATATAGGATTATAAAAGATGGTCATATTCTACATCAAGTATGTTTTATAGCCAAAATAACACATCACATTGATTTACTTTATTACATACCAAAATAAATAGATATTAATATAGACTTAACCTACTTGTACAAAACTCATATAAATATGCTCACAAAATTTATATTCCAAGCCTTCAACAGTATTGTACAGGCTCATATATATAGTATTCATATCTGCTATATATACAGATACAGTAGCTATTTTTATATGCAGTGTTTATATACTAAATATCTGGCTACACTTATTATTTTGTAAAATTTGTGATAAGAAACTCTGCTTGATGTGATATATGTCACACTATGGTCATCCAGCTGTGATATGACAAAATTCATTGAGCTGGATGAGCTGTGTTACATTACACCTTATTGAAATTCAATTTAAAAAATTTAACTTTATATTTCAGTTTGCTATACTTGTTATAAAAGTTTGAGATATGATTGTGTTTATAAACAGAGTTTTGTCTAAGCTGTAATAGCTATTTAAAGCTATTTAAACTGTCACTGCATAGAGAATTTAACATTCTAGCCTAAAATATTGAATTTTATAATCATTTACTTGTTTAATATTAGACTAGAATACTCAGATAATGTTTTTATAGTACTTGGGAGATTTCTAGTATCTCTTGTTGAGATATTAAATACACTGCACTTTCAATAGCTATCACTTATTGTTTCACTCCTTTTGTAATGAGCATACTGATGGAAACCCGACTTCCACTCAACCCAACAAGCCACAGCCCAGAAACCTATGGATTCCGATTCCCAGTTTCTATTTCATATTCTATTTCATATTCTTTTATATTTCACTTCTCCATTACAATTTATCAATAGCCCAACATCGGTAGTGAATATGTCATCAGACCCCATCGGCTACCGACCGGTAGAATACATCCTCTGACAACCCTAGAATGTAGACCACTCCGAGTAGGAACTAGATTGGACTCCTAACTAGTATATAAGCCTTAGAATTACATTGTAGATAACCAGTTCGAATATCAACTTGGTTCAGCCCAATCTCTCTCTCTGACTCTCAGTCAAGTCTTGACCTCCAGTCCATGGAACTCCGATCCGGTGGACTTATCCCCCAATCCTTCCCTATCGTTCCTCGGACTTCCGTCCATACTCATCTCAGGGCTTCGGCTCAGGGGTGACGTTGCTAATAGCTTCGCCTACGCCCGATGCATCCCGTGGCATTCCACTACGTGCACTTACTGCCGCAAGCCTATTGGCATGATCCTAACACCTTTCTATAGTATAATTCTATTTTTAATAGTATATAAGGTGGTGTATCTTGCAATTGAGCCCTCACTTGTTTGTGAGGGTTCTCTGCTTATCTCAGAGTTCTCACTAGTCACCAACTCAAGCCATTTATACTTAGCATACTCTAACATCTCTCAATAAAGTAGATTGTTAAAACAATATTACATCTATCTTATAGTGTTTTCTAAGGTTTACTAAAGCTGCAAACTTTATTTATAAGGCATATATAGATCTACATCAATAATATATTTGTTAAAGATACATTCATCTATATTTTAGTGATTGGCACTTATAATAACTGTTCCATATATGTATTAAAATAGCACAACTAATGTGTCTGAGGTCCTATTACTATGTATAGTAGATACAAATAGATATAAATACCAGTCTTGTATTCTATGCATACACACTTTTTGTTCATCAAGGAAAGGAAGGAATGGCAAGGCACCATGGGAAAATAATCACTGCTTCCTCTCACTCTATGACTAACCCCTCCTTGTAACCCTGAGCCAAGACATGGGTTTTTTTACACATGGCCATCCATACACCATTTTTCAGAGGCCATGAGACCAGCATTATATGAAGAAATTGTAATGTAACTAAATTTGGACTGACAGTCAGAATGGTTAGTCATTAATTAAAACTATAAGTAGAGCTATGACTCAAGGACCAGTAGTACTATGACTCTTAATGACCTCCTCTGACTCATCTTAGACAGTATATAAAGGCTGTAGATAGATAAAATAGAGTACTTTTCTTACTTTCCTCTCAGTTCTCATAAGTGCAAATTCTTGCTATTGGACCTGTGTCAGGCCAAAGAGTATTGCAATCTTGAACCTAGGAGAATAAGAAGACTCATGCTCACTCAGTAATACCTTATTCCTATCATACTCATCCCACACCACTGTCATCCATTAATACTATCTATTTGACAATAGTATCTCATCACTAGGTTATCAATTGAACTTGAAGTGTTATGACTCCTACCATGCTTTACAGTGGTGGATACATTGGGAACCTAGTGAATATTCACTAGCCATTACTATCACTCTCTACCTTTATAACCCATCTTGCTCCTTATAATTAAACCAACATAGCAGATCCAGGGGATGGTATCATGGAAGGTGACACAGTAATCATAGGTGAAAATGGCAAGACAGCTATGGAGGAATTATGGGATGAATATACCACCTATCCCCAAACTGGAGAAATATCCAATGCACCGTCAACTGCATTCAGATTCAAGTATTATGGGGAATATGAACTACAAGCCCAAGATGTCATATCCTGAGACTATGATAGATTTTTGGAGCAGCCAAGGTATACCCTTTGGCCTCAGATATTTCAAGCTATTGTAGATACCATTAACAAACAACAAGCAGCTCTCACCATCCTGGCCACCTTGACCCCTTCCAGGATAATGTGGTACCAAATAGACCCCAAAGATATGTTTATAACTATTTTAAAGGGGACCAACAAAGTGCAACTATTGAATGCTGCATGGAAAGGTTTATCAGGAAGGTTCAAACATGGTCACCAATTCCTGCAAAAATATAGAGCAGAATTTGAGAGACGTGATAGACCCTTGTCTCCTTCCTCTATGAACCCAGAATTGTACAAACCACTCAAAGTAGAAGAGGATGAGGAACAATGAATCATTCTAGGCCTTAGAATGATTCTGTCTCACAGTCATGAACTTTTGGTAATGGGTAGATCCATGCTTCAAGGAGAAGAGCAAAGATGAGAATGTATTGTGCCTTGGTATGGAAGTCTAAAGGAAAGATTTGAATTTGGAGGACACCCTAATGATAAGGACAATGCTAGCTCAAAACCTCTGATAACAGCTCAACCTGGCAATTGTGACTTGGGCCCTTCTCAAAATCTGAACCATTACCATCACCCAGATGTTCAACTTGCTCAGTCAGCAAGTGAAATATTATGAGCAGATAAACCTCTGGGAACATCCACTCAGGTTACTAGGGAAAAACATCTGTCACTCACCTCAGCTGTGTCCATGGGCCCAGACATGCCATTCAAACCAGTATTTGGATCATTCTTCCCTGAAAACCCAAAAGAACCAACACTGTCATCCTTGTCTAGTGTGAGTGAGGTATTCAGATGAAGAATAGGGAATATTAGGAGCATCCATGAACCAAGTATCATCAAAGAAGAGTCCCAGCAGCCTCCTGAGTCCACCAGCAATCAATCTGCTCAAGAAGAGGAGCCTAACCTGGAAGGCAATGCAGTGGTCAGAACTCAACCAGAAATAGCAGACAAACAAAGGGTAAGAAATTCCCTCTATGAAGAATCCCATGCTGGATTGCATCAAAGCAGGCATTCCTTATGAGGCGAGGACCCTCATTCATCATCACCTCCGATCAGATCCAGAGCTAATTTAACAAGAGCAGGTTGATCTCAGAGGACAAGCTGGCACTCAGCCAAAGACTACATATCTCCAGATGATCTGGTGAGTGGATCTTCCCCTAGAATTCTGAGGAGTGAATCAATAAGAGTAGTCAAGCTATCTTCCCTGACTTCTTCTCATCTGTTCATGCCATTATTGAGGTCAATAAGGTCAAGGCACTCCATAAATGAAACATCTCCTCTGCTGTATGGAGAGAGATGCAACTCTTGGCACTTGACAACAGAGGGAGGAAGAGATCAGAGCAATTTTCCTTCCATTAGCATGTCTAATGTGAACTCGCTGGAGCCTAGGGAAACCCATTCACACCTTCATCTGACAAACCCATCTTCAGAAAGAACATCAACTACTGTCCATATGTATTCTAGGGAAAGATTAAGAATGCAACAGGGAGAAGATCCACCCTCCCACCATTTGTCCAGTTCATTGTCCTAACCAAGTAGACACCCATCCCATTCCTCAAGAACTGTGCCTTTGCACCTCTCCAGCTGTCCCTCAGTTCCTTTGGGGAGTATAGATTCTAGACACACTCCAGCTGATAGCCCTCCTCCCAGTGACCCTTCATCTGACTCATCTGAGGACCCATCATCTTCAAGTGAGTGCACTGAAACAGAGGACTGTCAAGCAAGACAAAGAAGAAGAGGGCCTAGAGGATGACAGGGTGAAAGGGGTGAGTGTGGAGAGCATGGAGAACAAAGTAGAGAAGGACCGAGAGGAAGAAGAGGTGATAACGGTCCCCCTGGTGACAATGGCTCACCAGGCCCTCCTGGTGAAGAGGCTGGCTGTGGGCACCTGTGGAATAGTGAGCGGGCTAAAAGGCGAACCTCAAAAACCCACACACACACTCACACAACTACACAAACTACAATCACCCTTGTAAGTTCTAGGGGGAGTGATTATTTCTAATGCGATCCGACTATACTTCAATATCTTGAAGAGTTTATCTTATTCTCAGTGCTCTTAGCGAAGCTAAGCTTTCTCTAATGAATCCCTAAGTCTAGGAACTTTTACAGGAAGGTCATTCACTGGCGTGATGCAACCTTCAAGGCAGATTTGAGTTATAATACACAAGGGACACTGATCCTGACAGAAACAGAGGCAATACATGCTGAAACTTTAGTGAGCTTGCTAAAAGAACACCACAGGCAAGCACTGACTTAGCCTGCTCACTACACAACTGTATGTAGGGGTTCTCCAACTAACTTCAACAGATGATCTTGACTCAAGAACACTTCAGAAGTGCTCGGAAACAGATTCAGAAAACGGAAAACTCAAAACAGAACTGATGCAGAACAGACTGAACGAAAACAGAACAGATCTCGCTTTTCCTCTTCAGAACATACTCCGAACAGACTTATCAACACTCAATGAAACAGAACAGCTTCACTGATTCTTATTCTCTCAGAACTAAGTGCACAAAAAGTCTTTTCTCAAGGGTATCTTGTATTTCTCTGAGTGAGCTCGCTAATTCTATGCAAAGCTCGAAGTCACAAACTGATCCTTTGTTACAGTACCACCTTCAACACATGCACGGGAACTCAGGGGCTCAAAACTTGGCTTCTACCTACTGTAACCAGCCTACTTATACTACAGGGGAATTAGAATTACAAACGTCGCACAGTACCCAGACTCCTACATGCGTAGCACATTGCCACCGCCGCCTTACTGAGCATCTGAGTTGGACTTTCCAGTTTTAGTCTCATTTCTATAGTGAGCTCACTAAACGCGTGCCAAGAGGTGCTCTCCCGACACCCGTGGGCTTGTTCTCTAGTGACTGACAGGTCTAGGCACACGGAACTATCAGTCCTGGCATATGTCATTCAAGACTTCTTTCTTGGATTCACAGAGGCTTCTCGTAGACATGGCAACAAGTGAGTCTTCTAACAATGGGACTCAGAACAATGGGACGTGGGCTCGCGGACTTCAGCCAAAGCCCATTGCCCAAGCTCGTGCCAGTGATATCTGTCATCTCGCTTAAAGATTTCCCCGGATTTTCAGGTACGATGCGTCACAGTTAGCGAGCGTGCTAAGTACTCTCAGTGTCATTGCAATCTTCAAGGTTTTATCTAGCTCCCGCGAGCGTGCTTGTAAGTTAGAGCCTAAGGCATTGGGTATAGGGTTTGGCCTTCTCATCATGCATGCCCGTCAGGTACAGTGCTGTGACTAAGTCCTGTTTAGAATCCCGTTGCTTCTTATGCCATAAGTTATGTTCCATATCATTGCACCGCGTAGCATTAGTGTCGACGTGTAGTTTTTAGTCTGCTTGCTCACTATATCTCTGTATGCATGTAAAACATGTTAGATTGCAAAATTACATGTGTAAATAGGCTGCAGTCGCAACACCGGGCCCCTGGGACCTCTGGGAGGGCATGGACTGAATAGTAACTGACCAGATCCTGTGGCTCCTATTATCAAAGGAGAATTAAAACATGAAAATTTTCCCACTTGGGATGGGAACCCTTACTCAGCCATTCCTTACTTCTGGAAAGTCATGCATCTGGCTAGTCTAGGAGGAAGGATGCAAGAATATTTAGGCCAATGGTTATGGAAGGGGTTTAAAGATTCTGATGTGTACTCATGGTTTTTGACTCTCATGGTTCATGATCAACTACATATGCAAGAAAACATTGTCAATTTCTTAGCCATCATCAAAGAAGATTTTTTGGGTGACCAATGGCAAGTTCTTATAAACAATGTATTTGAGGCTCAGAGATTCAAGCAGAGAGGCCATAAAAATGAGATGCTACAAGGTTTCATCACTTGATGCACCATGTACATCTGAATGCTTACTCAAGCAGAGGATGGAGGAATTATGGAAGTAAATATCATCATGAGGAAAGCTCCCATTGCATGGAGACCAATATTGAACATGTCTACGATACAAACATGTGGCAACTATTGGCCAGAGTCATAGAGCACAGCAAAGCCTTGATCATAGCCTCCAAGAACAAAGCAGGTTCCAACTGGATCAACACAAATGACCTGTTATCTGCTCTATGTTCTCTGGGGATAGAACCCCAACACCATAATCAATTCATTGGGAGAAGGACAGCTAATCTTGCTAGTCAAGATTTGACAGCTTCTGGAGACCAAATTGAAAATGATGAAGCCTTTGAAGAAGAGTTGGAATTTGCTGACCCCTTGGACAGTCTGCTCAGATCAGCCTTTCAAGTCATAAAAAAGCACCAGAGACCTCCTCCCAAACTGTTTTTCTTCCCTGTCAGCCAGAAGGAGACAAAGCTGGGGAAACCACCTCTGTCACCATGTAAGGTTTGTAGCAGCCCTAAACATTGGGATAGGGAATGCCTCTATTGGGAGCAATACCTGGAATGGGCTAAGAAAAAGACAGCCCTGCTCACCTCACTAGAATTAGATGATGATGTGGATCTGGAAGAAGTATATTGTGCAGCTTATCAAGTCTTAATCTATGAATCCAATGCTTCAGAATCGAAGGATGAAGATCCAGGAGTCCCATCACAATCGGATTTTCAGCTAGCATCTTTAAGTAATGAGGATGAACTATCCTCCATTATAGAGAGTAAGACCGATGATCACAAAACTGCGATGAGTCTGGTCAGTAAAGCATTCTCTGAAGAGCAATAGTTAGATGCCTTGGAGACTCCACTGATCACTCATCCTATTGTCAGAACCAAGCCTCTCAAACTCACTCCCGAAAGACAAGCTAAAGGAGATCATTCAGCATCAGGCATTTCAGTCCTAGCTGTCGAAGGATGGGTTGGAAGTCTAGATAACCCTCAGATATACTTAAGACATGACTCAGGCACTGATGTGTCCCTTATATTCCAAGAATTATATGCTAGCCTGAAAAAGCCTCCTCCAATCAGAAAGGGAGTCCATTTAAAGCTTTGGCAACTCATGGACAAGGATGCTGAGATTCAGGGCTATGTTAAAATACCCATCTTTACACAAATGCAAGGAGGAGTAATAGTGCAAACAGAGGTGGAAGCCTACCTCGTCCCCAAAATGTCAGGACTCATACTTCTGGGTGAGGACTACCAGATTAACTTCGAGTTAACAGTTAGCCGTAACATGCAAGATGGCTGCTGAATTCAATATGGGGATAATCCTGAACTAGTCATTGGAACTGTCAAAGTGGAGAAGATCAATGAGTTCAGGCATTTATGTGCAAGTATGTACTCATTGCAGAGCTTCGTAAAGGCCCCAAATCATCACAGACAAAAGAATAAATGGGCTTGAGCTAAGAAGAAGTGAGATGATGAAGAACTAGTCATTCGAGCCAGACAAGATGTGAGAATCAGAGGTCACTGTTCTTGGAATGTTGAAATAGAAGGCCTTTTTGGGGAGGAAGAATGTTGGATTGTGGAGAAGAATCTAATTCCTCTCTCCATGACTTCATACCTGGTAGTCCTGAATGTGCTGATACACTCTAGTCACCCAGTAATCCCATTAGCAAACCCTTCTTCAGCCCCAAGAATAGTTCAGAAGGGTGACATTCTTGGCTCCATCTGTAAAGCCAATGGCTACCTAGACTCAGTGGCAGAGGGACCAGAGTTAGAGAAAGCTATAAATCTAGTCCAACAATTATTGAGGACCAAAGAAAATGAAGGCATCCAGGAAAGAGAGGCAGAATCAAAGGATGAATCAGGAGATTATGGCCCTAAAACTGCTGCTATGCCAGAGAATGCAAAGTAGCTTCTAAAGAAATAAAATCTCTGCTCAACATGAGGGATCTTCCTAAAGAACTGGAGCAGCCAGCCTGGGCTATGTTGCTAAAACATGAAAAAGCCTTCAGCTTTGACAGGAGGTTAGGGGACTATCCTGTGGAAGTGAAAATCAATGTTAAGGAAGAAACACTCCCCATAAGCCTACCCATATATGCAACTTCACCAGCAAAATGAGAAGTAATTGACAAGCAAATTGATGTATGGTTTGAAAAGAGAATTATAGAAGCCTCCAAAAGTCCCTGGGGAGCATCTATAGTAATTGCATATAGGAATGGTAAACCCAGGTTCTACATTGACTATCGCAAGCTAAATGCAGTTACTGTTCCAGACAAATTCTCTATTCCCTGCCAAACAGACATCCTCACTGTGCTGTCAGGATTGCAGGTCTTGTCCAGTCTGGATGCATTGTCAGGATTCACTCAACTGAAGTTACACCTTGACAATGTGGAAAAAATGCCCTTTAGGTCGTACAGAGGACTATTTCAGTTTAAGTGGATGCCCTTCAGCCTGAGAAACAGTCCTTCTGTATTCTAAAGGGTTATGCAAGGGATTTTATCTCCATATCTTTGGTTATTCATGCTCTTCTACATAGACAACATAGTGGTCTATTCAAAAACTTTTGAAGAACACATTGCACACCTGGACAAAGTATTAAGCACAATAGAAGACAGTGGGATAACATTGTCACCAACCAAATGTCATTTCTTCTACTTCTCCATTTTACTACTCAGGCACAAAATGTCTTGCCTAGGATTATCAACTCACCAGGAGAAGGTATGAGCTATAATGGAGCTATCTAGACCCATGAAAGTATCAGAACTACAAACATTCTTGGGTATGCTTGTGTACTTCTAAGGTTTCATACTCTACTTCACAGATTGAATGACTCCCTTTGTTTGACCTCTTGAGGAAAGGGAAGGCTTGGGAATGGACAGAATTAGAAGACCATGCTTGGAAATTGGGAAAGGAAGCCCTGTAGCAAGCACCAGTGTTAGGGCACCCATCAGAAGGATTACCTTACCAGTTATACACCAATGCCTCAGATCAGGCATGCAGCTGCACACTTCAGCAAGTACAACAGATAAAGATTAGAGACCTGAAAAATATGAAATACGAAAGCATATGAAATGCTAATGAAGGTATGGGAGGCCTGAAAAAAAATTCCATGCTTGTACAGCAAGCTGAACACTAGGTTGGAGCATCATCCGTACCCCCAGTAATGGGTGTCAGAATTTGAAAATATGCTAGTATGGACAGAGAGAGTCATAAGATACTATTCCAGATGATTCAAAGATGCAGAAGTCAGGTACTCAGCCACCAAATGCGAAGCATTAGCTGCAAAAGAGGGACTCATGCATTTTCAACCTTTTATAGAAGGCAAAAAAGTTGCGCTAGTAACTGACCACACTGCCCTGCAATGGGCGAAGATGTACAAAAACTCTAACAGAAGACTCGCCACTTGGGGAACAGTTTTCTCAGCTTTTGCCCATCACCTCAACATAGTCCACCAACCAGGATGGAAACACTCAAATGTAGATCCACTATCAAGATTGCCAAGAGAGCCTCCAGAACATAATTCTCCATTGGATACAATGGGAAAAACACTAGAGCTGGATAATGACCTGGCAAAAGTGCAGGAAGAATCCCTCAAAGCTTCTCCAGCTAGGAGAATTGAAATAACAGCAGAGGTTAATACAACGAGATCCCAGAGGAGGAAAGAAAGTCAAGAACTTGACGCTGGGGGAGGAGACAACAACTTAGAAGCAAGTAGTAAGCACCAAGTTCACAGCCACCATATCGATCAAGGAACAGAGACATCATCTAAACTCCTTTGGGAAGCCCTGAACCCCTCTCTGCCAGCCTGGCATGTTTTCCTAGATGACTCTATGAAAAAAGCCTTCATACAAGGATACAAGACCAATCCTCAATTTCAAACAGTCTACTCAGAAATGTCAAAAGCTAAAGACTCGAGATCCTTGGGGAGAAGGTTCATGCAAGATGAACTAGGACTGTTATATTTCTTAAATGCAGACTTTCAACCTAGACTCTGCATCCCAAAACCTCTACAGTTGGACATTCTTTCAGAAGCACATGAATCTCCTCTAGAAACTGCTCACATGGGGGCTGAACAATTATGGAAAAAGTTAACATCAAAATTTTACTGGAAAAGAATGAAAGTTGATATTGAGATATTCTGTAAAACATGTGACATGTGTCAAAAGACAAAATATACAAATTTCTCCCACTATAGTCTGCTAATCCCAAACCCTATTCCAAACAGACTGTATGAATCAATCTTGATGGACTTTATAATAGATTTACCCTGGTCAAACAAATTCAACACCATTTATGTAGTAGTGGATCCCTTAACAAAACATGCACAAGTTATCCCTATCACTACAGGACTGAATGCTGAAGAGTTCGGAACACTGTTCACAAAGAATGTTGTATCGAAATATGGATTACCATCTAGCATCATAGCAGATAGGGATCCAAGGTGGACTGCTGACTTTTGGAAAGAAGTTGTGAAAGCACCAAAAATATGTATGGCTCTCTCGTCATCCCATCATCCACAGCACAATGGGCAGATGGAAATTACCAATCAATTCCTGGAAACAATGGTAAGAGCATATATATCAGAAGACAGAACCAAGTGGGCAGAATGGGTCTACCTTCTAGAATTCGCATACAATGCACACATCAGCCCTTCAACTTATTTGTCTCCCTTTCAACTCCTTTTGGGATTTCAGCCAACCTCCCCTTTGGAATGCATAGCCAAGATGATAGTATCTCCTGAGCAAGCTAAAAATCTAAACAAGGAGTCAGCCAAATTTCTGAGCAATATTAGAATACAGAGGGAGAATGCAAGGTTGGCTATTGCCTGAGCACAAGAGTCTCAAGAAAAGTATTATAACAAGGGACAAAAAGAATTCCTGAAACTGAAACCAGACAACAGGATGCTAGTGAATAGTCACTCTCTAGCTTGGAGAGAAGGCAAAGGAAAAGGAGCCAAGTTAACCCAATGCTGGATAGGGCCTTTTGAAGTCATTAAACAGATTAATTCAAGGTTTACTGATTGAGGATGAGCAACAGGTACTCTGAAAGTCCCGTTTTCAACATTGACCACTTAAAACTATATCACACTAGTCCTGCAGTGCTGGGAAAATGGACAGAATTGCCAGAGACATGAACTGAGGCTCTATCAGAGGAATTCAAAGTTGAAGAAATAGTAGATCACAAGTACCAACAAGGAAAGATTTTATATCTGATACATTGGATGGGATACAGGTCTCAATTTGATTCATGGGCAACTCCCACAGACTTGAAAAATGCCCTAGGACCTGTTCAAGAATATCAGCAATCAGAGCAACTATAAAGAGTCTTTTAATTATCAATGATTGAAAATAGGACAGGGCTATTTCAAATAAACCCCAACATTCGATCCACCTCTTATGATGACCATTTCTCGTGCCAGCGATCTATGAGTACTCACTGCCACAAAGTCCCTTGCATGAGTCAAGAAAAATCATGTATGAATTCTGACTCATTTTCCCAACCTGGGAACGTTACTTAAAGAGAAATTTGGAACAGAAGGACTTCCAAATCCCTGCATAAATTTCCATCAACTTAAAACTCTTCTTGTGGAAATGGCTCTCATGTGAAACAACTACCTCTTACTGGGAAGGAATAACTGGGTTCCTAGGAGCATCCTGCTCTTCCCCAGAAATTTTGACGGTCCAATAATTCAACCCCTGAATGCTGCTGGATTACCATACCCTCTCCCCACTATCAGCCATGAGGAAAGGATGGAGTCTGAATCCCAGATCATTGAAGTCAGCCCTACCCAACTGGACTCTTAGCTAATAGATGCCACTCAACTATCCCAACCAGTTGAGGTGAACACCTCTCATTGGTATCATCTGTATGGGTTCAGGAAAGGGCTGCTAGGAGAATGGGGTTATGATTGGGACCAGAAAGAGAGGTATGCTATCATTCTGAATGGCAGAGGGGAGTTTCTCCTTGAATGAACCAAGGCTAAGGAAATCACAACAGATCTTCAACTCATTTCCCTTTGCATACAAGACATACAGAATCACCTGTCTTTCATCTCAGGCTTGCTCATTCCCCCTTCCATCGAAACAGCCATCCTTTTCAGACATGATTTTACCTCTGAGCAACAGATTCATACCTTAATCAGCTTGGCACAAGTGTCATTTTGTTCAGGGATAACATACATAAATGCATGAAGAATAGTCGTTGGAGCAGGATGAGACAACATGCTGCTACCAAGGAGGGCTGCTTTTGTGAGGAGACTGAAACTTCACCTGCATCCCTTGTGAGGAGGTGTGTTCAATCTGGAAA